AATTTGTTTGCATATCTGCAATTTTAATCGTTTCAATTTAAAAACATCCCTCATATCATAATTTGATTTGTTAAAGATGTTTTTGTAATATATCATAAGTATTTAAAACTTCTGATACAGCTTCAATGTGTACTTGAATTATTGAATGTATTTATATTTCATATTTATTCACCAGCTTGTTTCACTCTTCCTCAGACAACTTCGAAGACGAAGATGTGGGCGAAGCAGAAATGAGTTGGTCTTCCACAAAAACAACAACGTCACCTTTCAACAACAACAGCAACAAAGACAACAGACACATTCAACAGTTTAGCAGCACCAACTGTTTCTGCTGTTATTCCAACAACAAATAACCTCCTCTACATAGCAATTAGGAATATGCAATAAAGCTGAAAAGAACAAAATATTAATTGTAAACAAAATTTTATGCATAGCTAGTAAATTGTGTTGTGCACTTAATTGGGAGCAGGCAGTTCCAGAGGTAATGTAAGGAACGCATCACATGGTACCAGCCAACAACATTAACAAACTTTTCAACGGCTAATCTTCAAATACATTCAGACACGTACATAATGCGTAACATTGCGTTTTTAAGCGCCTAAACAAAAATTATTCGTTCATCGAAAAATGAGTTAATTACGACAAAGCCTATTATTTATTTACGGTTGCTTGTAGTATTTAAAATGACAATGACGGCAAAAATATTGACAACACGCAAACAAAATGATCACAGGCAAGCGAAAATGTCAAAATGAAAACAACCTGAGAGTTGTATGAGAATTGTATGAAACAATCAAAAACACGCGCGAAATTAACAACTAAGGTCATCCAACCGACGAAGAAATGTTTTCCTTTTTTGCAATGAGTTCAGCAGCTTAAAAGTCTCTATATCTTCAATTTTTAATTTTTCTTTTACAGAATTTTTCATGTTGTATTTTTTTCATTGAAAATAAAAACAGCGAAGCATCCATTAAAGTGAAGCAACGCGAACGTTTGGATGCATGCAGCTGGCTGGAAACAGCAGCATTGGAGGAGGCTGGCAACGATGTAAACAATACAACGATTACAAATTTAAACAATTCCACAATTAAAAATTTCAACAACAACATCATCAACAACAGCATCAACAACAACATCATCAACAACAACAACAAACAACATCCAATGCATTAATTCTCAGTACGAAAAAATAGAAGACAAAGAGTTGGGAAATAAACATTCAAAATTCATGGGCAGTGCATTCATTCATTCATGCGGCTCACTCATTCGCTCATTCTTTGAATTGTTAATTATTGCTGAAAAAACATGTTTGTTTAATGGTTAGATTTCCCCTTTGTCACAATTGTTCACTTGTTTTTTTTTTATTTTTCAGTACACTAATTAAACTCCTTTTCATGAAAAATTCATTTGCTCAAAACCATTTCATTATTTCACTGATTTATATATTCTTTTGTATTTCATATGAAGATGTATTTGTTTATTAATTAATTTATAAGTTCATTCGTTCATTCATTCATTCGTTGGTTCGTTCTTTCATTCAGTCATTCGATACTTCGTTCATTTGCAGTTTGTCAAGCCAGTTTTCTCAAACGCATGAACCACACAAACACGTGAACCACACAAACACAGAAAGAGGCCCCAAGAATTCCATTTTCTTGTCTTCCACCATTCCCAACCTCATTCTTCCACCTCGCCAACTTGCTTCTACTTTTTTCTGTAACATCCTCGTTCATATATATAAATTCTGTTCAAACTTAATTATAAAAATAAATTGGATAGCAAAAAAATATCTGAAGTGTTATTTGCAGTAAGTTTATTATTGTGAGAAGCAGATGAATCTCTGACTACAAACAGACAATGACGATGGAAAAATGGTGGAACATCAAACTATTTAAGAAATTTAAAAGCGCCTCATTGGAGTAATAGGAGAACGTGACCAACCAACACAACATCCAGTCAGCACGTCAACCGAATTGGAAACTATATTGGCATATTGCATATTGAAAAATAAATAAAAAATTTACAGAAATTCAACTTGCGTGAAGGAACATCGCTGCTCAGTGCATATGAGCATTTTATTTAAATGCATCAACATGCGGCATCTTCGTGCCTATGACTGTATTGTTTTAATTATTATTTATGTACGTGTGTGCTGGCTTGCATTAATATTTATGTCTGTAACTAAATTGGTGTACATTATTGCTTGTTTGGAAAATTTGAATCTAAACGTTCGTTCGTTTGTATGCAATGTTCGTATGTTAATGTTCGTACGCAATGTTTGCTTGTTAATGTTCGTACGCAATGTTTGTAAGTTGATGTTAGTGCGTAATGTTTGCTTGTTAAAGTTTGCATGCTAATGTCATCATTTAAGTGTTGTTGTTGTCGTTGCTGGTGATGTTGAAAGTTGAACGTTGTTATCGGTTTAGTATTTCGGTAAATACAATTAGTCGGTGCAAACGTTTTTTTGTTGTTTGCCGGTCGGTGTATGTTGGTAGGTAGATAGGTAGGTAGGTATCTTGTAATTAGTTACATTCCCAACACTTTTGCTCATGTGTCGGTTCGTAAGCGAGGTTGGAACCAACTGCAGAAGAAACTTAACTTTAAAAAACGTATAAATAAAGAAGAAGATTGTTGAGCAGCACACTTCAAAGTAAGCTGGAGGCAGAATAACTTTGAAACATAACTCCAACATGAAATAAGAAAATAAAGCAAAGTATCACATGTTGCGAGCAAAAGTTATCGTTCAGTCAAACAAAAAATATTTATTGGAATATTTTAAAGGTGCATTAGGCAATGAAATAGCAAACCCGTGCCAGGCGAACGTGTCTTAAATAACAACAACAAGGAAAAGGGCAGAAATTTCTCAAATGTTTCGCACATTTGCTCCAAATTAATGAAGCACATGATAATCAACCACTGTTCGTTATTTATAATTATTGTTATTTATAATTTGGGAAAAAACAACAAACGTTATTACAACACGACAACTGTCCAACTACAACTCCACAGGATTGCTATCAACGGTTCAACTTAACAACAACAACAACACAATTTACCTGCAAAACGACAACCCAGTGTAAGCACAACAACAGCAACAACAACAGCAACAACAACAGCAACAACAACAGCAACAACAACAGCAATAACAACGACGTACATCGAAGAGCAGTTTACAATTTTTTCTTGTGCTTTTATTTTTTGTGCAATGAAGACTTGCTGAGAGCCAGGACGCTGCGCCGGGCTGGCAAATAAAGAAATAAACTAACTTTTTTATTTTTTTTTATTTGTAAATGAAAATATAAATAAATGATAAAAAAGATAAACCAACATAGAAACAAATAAACATTGAAACGCAAGAACAAAGAGTTGAGCAGCAAATACAATAAACATAATCAAACAAATAAAACCAAACAAACACAACCAAACAAATACTGAAACACAATCAAATGAGCAACTAAAACAACGAACGACTAAACGAACAAGTGATATTCGGAAGATAAATTGACTAGAAAATTAGAACCATACAAAACAGAGGGAGAATTTTGAGGGTAGAAGTGTTGGCTGTTGGTTAACATTCAGCGTGATCAAATTTGATTTTAAAGTGTTAGGCAGAGGACCCTTCAAAATGAAACTTCCCAGTGAGAGCCAGAGTATCAAATATAAATTTAATCCAAGTATTCATTCGGCAGGTATGTATGATGAAAAACATCTCCTCTGGATGATAACGTTGCAGATATCTCCCCACGCTTTAGTGCAAAACAATCGGTTAAATGATGCAAGCCATTTATATTAATTATTTTTTTATTTTGTTATAACCATTATTTTTTAATATTACTTGTATTATTATTACTACTGTTATTAACATTATTATCATTTTATAATTACTTTATTTTTATAACAACAACAATAACAGCACTTTCATTGTGTCGTTGTTAGCTGTGCTCAGTTCTGCCGTTTGGTCTGGTGTCTTCGATTGTTTGTTCGTTTGTTCGTTCGTTTGTTCGTTCGTTCATCATATATTCCATTTGTTGTTGTGATGTATCTATCTGGTGAGCCTGATAATTTTGGTTACATTTCGCGTTTAGTATATCTTTGTATATGCTTTTTCAGTTCATCTTATCATGTATCACGTAAAATTTTTATCTAGATATAAGGAACCTAATTTGGATAATTAAGGTTTTTTTAATTACGTAGCAAATTACGAGGTGGAACATATAGGATGGGGTCAACATGGGGAAGAATCTTTTTGCGTTAGTTTTCCTACATGCCACATCATCCCAACATTACAAAATTACATCCCAACATTACGAAATTACATCCCAACATTACAAAACTACATCACAACGTCACTGCAACATCACAACAACACAACATCAAAACAACACATTAATACAACGCCACATCACAACACGTGTTGGTGAATATTGGCTGCTAATCTTCTTTATATTTGTCCGATCGCATATATTTAATCAGAGATAACATACATACAAGGTGTAACTGCCAGACACACATAAAATCAAACTCACACCAACACGTACAGATACATACATACATACATACACACACGCGCGCCGATAGTGACACAAACATACACACACACGCACGCATACGCACCCATCGTAAATTTTAATTAAACTGCATGTTTCATCTTCTTCATCAACATCCAGCAAATGTACATGAGGCATGTAATGAACATTGGATGAAAATATAAAACATAAAATGAACATAAATGGACAACTCTAAAACATATAATGAACACAAAATAAAGCTGGCGTAAACACAAAATTAAACGTCACAAAAGAAAAGATCACCATGGTGTAAATCGTTATAAAGCAAACAGAGACATTTTGAACGAACATGTAAAGAAGTTTGCAAACAAAGAGTTGAAGAGAGAACGTTGAACAGATGCAATTATCAATGGCATTAAAGAGGCACGTTCAACTATTAATGCACCTCTGGTCGCCAGTATCCTCCCGAATCAATCACCTCCAACACCACATTCATAAATCACCGTAGCAGGAGTGTTGCATGCACGGATGGCGAGACTGCCATGAAATTGCACTGCTGAACTTTCTTTTGAAGGAAAGTGAAAGTTCATCGTGGCTGGCTAGCTGGCTGCATGGTATCAGTGCAGACCTCCTCATTACGTTGCTAAGCAGATGGCCTTCATGCTTTCTTTCTCCTTGTCCTTTTGTTTTGTTGTTGTTTCGCTGTTGCTTTGCTGTTCTTTTATTGTTGTTTTGTTGTTGTTGTTGCCGCAACATTTGCTCATTCTCAACAACAGAGTTGTAACGTCGCATCGTTCCGTTATCGTCAACATGTCATCAACACTGTTACTGTAATTTATGTCGAAACTGCTGTTGATGACTTTATTTCAATTTTTTTATTATGACGCAGTGAAGTTATTTATTAACGGCAACAAACAGTGAGTGAGTGAGTGAGTGAGTGAGTGAGTGAGTGAGTGGTGATGTAGGAGGAATAAACAAACAGTCGCCTCTGCTCTCGGCTGACATTTCTCATTATTTTTTTTCGAGCTAATTATTTTCAAACAATTCTTCCTAAATAATTTTTCATCAATTATTCTTCTATGAAAAATGTTAACAGTAGAAATCAAAGAAGAATAATCCTTTGGTGGCCAGAATCAAAAATGGCGCGAAATTGTCGGCGTGGTGATGACAGATGATTGTTGGTATAACACGTCAGGTGTAAGAAAAAGAAAACTGTTGTTTCCATTGTGAACACTTGCTGCAAGTTGCAAACCTCCACAGAGAGATGGATGGGCAGCCGTGGCAAAAATGTTGCAATGTTTTAGAATGAAGACAGTAGGTACATAATTTTTGAGACAGGCGCGCCATTTAGTTGTGGGTGGGCACAATGTGGCCCCGAATAACTCCGCGTCGTTCGTCAAACGCGGAAATATTTCAGGAGTGGCGGAAACTGTTTTCTTAATGGGTACAAGAACCACAGTTCAAGAGCAGCTTTTGTAGTAGTCGTTATTTTTACAAACTATTAAATATTTAATTAGATTATATATACATATAATCTTATTTATTTATATAATTTAATTAGTATACAAATTCAGAAAAAGAAATGATAAGATGACAAAACGACGAAAATGATGATATGACAACCCCAGCAACTATTATATGCAAAGTTACAGCGTAGTATGATACCCTCTTTTGATAAAATATTTTCACATAAAAACTAATTGGAAGCTAAGGATTAGACATTGACATGAAAAATTTACAAAACTGATGATGGTGGTGATGATGAAGAAGAAGATGATGATGATGATGAAGTAGATGATGTTTTTAGTAATAATAGCTAAGAGAATGAAGATGATGAGGAAAATGGTTGTAACAATATATATTTTTACAATACCGGTTATTTTATATATAATTATTTTAGCGTATTATAAGCACTGTTGATGACGTTGTTAATGATGATGATGATGACGATAGTAATTATGATGCCGTGGTGATGATGATGATAATGATGGTGATGATGAAAATAGCGATATCACCATTCCCGTATGGATTAAGAAACAACAGCAAGGTTGCGGACAAACAGAGCAAGAAGAAGAAAGAGATGATGATGATGAATAAGATGATGAAGAAGATGATGAAGATGATGATGATTTAATATCCATTAAATAGCATTGTCTTCGAACTCGTCAACAGTTGAAATTAATTTCAATCAGACAAAAAAAAGGCCGGCTGAAGTTTCCGTTCCACGCATGCAAACAAAAAGTGGACAGTCTTAAGGAGGAGACACTTTGGAATTAAAATGCTTATAAAGGAGTGGATGTTGTTTCTTGAAACTAAACAATGGAAATAAATTTATTTTTCAACGTTACAAAACTAAAGTTATTCAACCAACCAAACTAACACTCTTGAAAATAAAAAACAGAAATTTGACCAAAACGAAGCTGACTTAACTAACGTAAAAAATTTATCCAATAGTTGAAGAAAATAAATTTTGAAAGACGTCACTCACGCATCAAATGTTATTTCAGGGCATCGCCACCAGCACCTGCCATTTTAAAAAACATGCACACATAGCACGTTGAAAGTTTTTGAAACGTTGACAGCTCAGCAGTAACCACACTTGCCGACGAAAAATTAATAAACATTTCATGTTTTTCAAACGTTAAAATTGTTAGTGGGACACGAACCGCCATTAAACAGTTGGTTGTAGTTTACAAACTAGTTGGAGCAAAATGAAATTCTGAAATATTTTAAAAAAAGGCTCTCAAATTAGATGGATGTTTAAAATTGGATAACGGTGGTCCTGTTAATGGAAAGGTATAAAATGGTGAACATACGAGCGCTAAAAAATAAATTGAAACATTATAAATGCGCTCAAGTGAAATAACATTTGAGAACCTACAAAAACAAAAAGAAAACAATGAGGAAAGAAATAGAATACCATACAACAGAATGCAACGGCAGCGAGGCCCAACGAAAATACATCTCCTTCTGTAAACAAAACGTTAAGACTGCAAAGGAGATGGGAGAAAAACAGATCAATCAAACTCTTCTTAACAAATGTTTTTTTCTTTCTTACGAAAAATGTTTGAATTTTTTTTCTGTTCAAGTAGCTATGTTGTTTGGTTGCTTGGTTAATTGAATAGTTGGCCGGTTGTTTGGTTGGTTGTTAGGTTGGCTGGTCGGTCGGTTGGTTGGCTGGCCCGCTGGTTGGTTGGTTGGTTGGTCAGTAGGTTGGTTGAGTGTTTGTCCAATACGCTGGAAGGTTAGCCATGAATTTTATTAGTAAAAATTTCATTCAATAGTAAAACATAACCTATGCCAGTCTTGTCGTGAACATGTTCACGTTTTCAACATAACTCTAAAATGCACTGAAAGATTATTATAATTAGTGAGGGAGAAACAGCTGAAGAAGTTAAGATTAAAAAGATGGCAGTGATGATCGAAATGGACGAACGTATGCTTGCACATGATTGGTAAAAACTTCTTCTTACGTCGCCCACCCCAAACCTACCCACCATCTGTTGCCAACCTGCTTGCTTGTTTGTTTACTTGCTCGCATGCCTGCCTGCCTGCCAGCTTGCTTCTTTGCTTTTTTATAATATGGCAAGGCGTGCAACTATTCAAAACAATTCACTCAATAACAGAAAAGTAACGCAGATTACCAAAAATATGGAAAACTACCATTTTTGAAGCAAGAGGATTTGCTATAACAAACGTTCCATGGTTTTAAATTGAAAGCAGGTTAGCTGGTGGACAATGATTAAACTTGCTAACGTTTCTCGAACGTGTAGTTTTAGATAACTGTACCGTCGGCTGGTAAGTAAGTGTTTCAATCGTTATAAGTATAACTTTTGTAAAAAAAAAAACATTCACAAGTTATTCCATAATATAAAATAAACTAACCATTATGACATATGGAAATTATTTATACGGCAAAATATACTGCATCCACAAACTTACAACTACCCTTCTATATAAATATACATACATACATACATACATACATACATACATACATACATACATACATACATACATACATACATACACACATACATACATACATACATACATACATACATACACACACACACACACACACACACACAAAATATGGTCTCCTTCCAACATACATACATGTATATATGTGTGTACATGTGCGTGTGTGTGTGTGTGTGTGTTAATATAAAAAGAGGAAACGTCAGAAAAAAGAAACATTTGATTGAAGAGAGAGTTATATTTTCTTTTCCTCCATTAGCCACGAAGTTGGTTGGTATTTCTTTAAACAAATGAAATTTTCAAAAAAAAACATTTTTACTTTAATGCACATTTAAAATTTTTCAACTTGTTTGCACATGTTTTAATTCCGTGTGTGTTAGTGTGTCTGCTTCTATTTGTTTATATGTGTGTGTGCGCGCGCGCGGGCTTTAGTGTGTTTGTGTGTTTTCACATTTGTGCGTGTGATCATGTGAGTGCTCTCGTAAGCTTATGTGCTTTGAAAGAGCAATTGTTTGTTTATGTGTCAGTTGTTACTCGTATGTTTTTGTCGTGGAGTGTGCGTGTGTGTGTGTATGTGTGTGTGTGTGTGTGTCTACATGTGTGAATATTTATGCGCTGACCTGTTCGTACCCGCGTTTGTTTGGATGTGCTGGGCTCTTTGTATCATGTTGCCGTCTGAGTCGTCGACGTTTTGATGTATGCCTGCTTTCAAAATTTATGGACCTTTTAAATTATGAAATATTCAAGCGCTGGCATTATATGTATATGTGTATGAAAAGTCGTGCCTTTATGTGTGGGCGTGTGCGTGTGTGTGTGCGCGTGTGTGTGGTGTGTGCAGTGGCTGTAGAATAATCTTCTTTATCTCTGTGTTTTTTTACCAAGACGTTTGCTAGCTTGTACACACGGGCGATAATTGCCCTGCCCGATGAAATGAAATAATATAAATGGATGTTTATGTTTTTACATCCAACAATTGAAATACCCCTGCATGTATTTTAGTTTCAACATCATAGCATAATCAGAGTAATTATCGAGGTCAAATTGGCAGAATTATTCAAGACATTTACGTTGTTATTAACACGGTATTGTTGTCAACATTTTTAACATAACGAACGCAGCGCTACTACATTTTCAACAACTACAACGTACGTAACCAGCCAGTCGGTAACCTTTTAAAAACATCATCATTGCTACTTCATTTCAAGACGTTCTTCTACTTTGTGTATCATAATTCCTTGTATCTAGTATCAAGTATCATCTAGTATCAAGTATCATCTAGTATCAAGTATCATCTAGTATCAAGTATCATCTAGTATCAAGTATCATCTAGTATCAAGTATCATCTAGTATCAAGTATCATCTAGTAACAAGTATCATCATGTTTTCCATCATCGCTGACCATTTTGCACTCATCACATCATCAGATCTGTCATCATTGTCATCATTTCATTATAAAGCAACTACATCATCATCATCATCATCTTCTTCTTCTTCTTCTTCTTCTTCTTCTTCTTCTTCTTCATTATTTTCACTATCATCATTATCTTCATCTTCGTCGTCGTCATCATCTTCTTTTTCATCACTATCGTCATCATCACCTTCATCATCATCATCATCATCGTCGTCGTCATGATAATCAATGCAATTCATCACGTCTGACGTTTATATCAACAGGAGTCCTCAATATTTATTTCATTATTTTGCATCATCATTACCACTAACAGCATCATCATCACAACCATCATCATCAGCCTCATCATCATCACCACCACCATCATCATCACCACCACCATCATCATCAGCCTCATCATCATCACCATAATTGCTAACCTTATAACTAACATCATCATCACTATCATCTTCATCAT